TTTTATTTTTAGAAAAAATCGATGTATTTGTGGTTTATACCGATAGTGAAACATGGTTTGGTGATATTCATCCAACAGCAGCATTAAAGAAATATCGTCAAGAAATGGATTGTCCAAATGCAAAATTAATTGTTGTTGGAATGCAATCAAATGGTTTTACTATTGCTGATCCAAATGATAAAGGCATGCTTGATGTTGTCGGTTTTGATTCAGCTGCTCCACAAGTTATGTCATTATTTGCTGAGGGAGAAATATAAATAAATAAGAAAAATACTACGTCCATATTTTATATTAAACACGACGTTTTTGTTTTCTTTAGTAACTTTTTTTTTTGTTTTTTTTTTTTTACATTTTACACTTTGTTTTGTTGCAGTGATTGATTTGTCTGCTGTTATTAAATTACAAACATCTTTAAAAGAAACATTAACTAATAAAGATATAGCAATACATTATTAACTATGTCTTCTCTTATGGCAATATAACGAGTGATTGGAAAGGTTTTAGACAAGATGTTTGTTTACTTTAGAATTGCTAGAAAGGATTTCTGACAAGTTAAAAACTATGAGTTAGAATGCTCTTTTCGAATATGAGCTTAGAAATTTTGTTTCAATTTTTGTTTGAGTATAGTAAACTAATCCTTGAAAAACCTAAAAGATTAGTTTGGACGGAACTTCTGGACTGATGCTCATGGTAATTATATTTGTTCATTTTGACTCGTTTGAAAGCATTTCAGTATAAATCACAACGAGAATTTGAATATGAGCTTGAAAATGTTGTGTCTATTCATGTTTAAGAGTAGGAAGGGACTTTTTGAAAGACCTAAAAAATAATTTTTAATGGTAAGCCAACATAATTTTGTTTGCCCTATAAGTAGAATCCGTCGGATTCTTCCAGAATCTGGATCTGAAAATTTTCTGTCAACTGGATCCGAAAACTTTGGATCCGATTGAGCTCTATTCTATGCATTTCTCAGACGAGTCGTCTAAGAAATGTGTAGGGTGTACTACTTAGGGCATACCAAAAGTAGTGGCGCCCGCATCTCAATTTCTTATAGAAGGCTTGAGTAAATTTTCTTTTTTTATGAGGTGATAGAGAAAACGAAGCTCTATTTTTCTGTACTATTTCATCTCTATTTAACTGGTATTATAATAATAGAATTTTGATAAGAACTGTTTTTGCGTAAAACTTCACTAATCCATTAGTACGCTTTCTATTCCAATTTCTAATTATTTAATACGTTATACTTAAAAACAAAAGATACCAAAAGATGCAGCATGAAAAGCTCTACAATTTATAAACAACAGTTTATTTTGTATTTGAAATAAGTAAAAAGAAATTTCTCTTTGGATGATTTTTTTCGGGCAACGAAGATTGGTTACACAGAATTTTGTTTTCTTTTGACAAGGCGACATAATTAAAACAAACTTTATTATGTAAATTGTAGAGCTTTTCACGCCGCATCTTGTGATATATTTTGTTTTTTTTAAACAAAGGATATCAAATGACAAAAAGGTGAAATAAGAACAAATGAACTCATCTTACATCAAAAACTATAGTTTTCGCACATTCGAAACTTGATCACTCAAAATTTCGTTCATTTTGAAAACAAAAAGTACAACTATAAAAAAAAGTCATCCTATGTAAATTGTAGATCTTTTCACGCTGCATCATTTGGTATATTTTGTTTTTTAATACAACGTATTAAGCGATTCAAATATTTAATCTGCCTCACGCGTCAGTGAAATTTTACGCAAAAACAGTTCTTATCGAAATTCTATTATTATAATATCAGTTAAATGGAGATGAAATAGCACAGAAAAATAGAGCTTCGTTTTCTCTATCACCTCATAAAAAAAAGAAAATTTACTCAAGCCTTCTATAAGAAATTGAGATGCAGGCGCCACTACTTTTGGTATGCCCTAAGTAGTAACGGAATAAAAAAAAAACGCAGAAAAGTATCGCGTATGTTCGGGACAGCTATGCTGTTCCGGTTAGAACGTTTCAATGAAAGTATCAAAGTACCGTTCGATCGAGTCCGGATCCTAAAATGCAGGACTCCAATGGGCTGTACATATGATTCTCTTTTCGAACATGCTAAAAATTGCCGGAGTCGACTAGACATCGGCGTGACTAATATTTTTTGGTCACGGTCATGGTCACAGTCACGATCGTGATCATTGCAGCCATGATCATGACTGTGACCATGAGTCACGAAAATTCTAACGACTGTAATCATACAGTATTTTTCGATCGCCTATGTGCATATAAATTACGTAGACACAGCGTTTATTGAATAGTGTTTCTATTGGCAGCGATAACCAGATAATGATTGTTGGGTGTGATAAGAAAAGAAAGAAAATATGGGATTAGAACAATAATATCCTTTTCTCATTATAGAGTGTAATGAAAATTTACTTTACATAGCAAGAAAATTTCTGAAGAGAATTCGTTACAATTAATTTGAAGTAATGATTCTTCTAGAAATTTTTAAAAAATTGAAAGAGAAGAATAATATATATATCAGGTTCGCGTTCACTTCAGTACCATTAGTTTGCATAAAAATAACCAACATTCTGTTATTTTTCATTCATACAAATCATTTAACTGCTACCAAGCACTTAATAGTATACCCTCATAGGAAATAAGGAAGCACCGAACGCGAAAGTTCGAGTAAAGGTTCGCTCTCGAATACTGTCAGTTTCAGAGAATTGACAAAGCTATGAAGCAGAAACAAAGTAAAAGAAAGACTTTTTTAAGTTTAAGTCTATGATGAAGTTAAAACAAATAATCGTAAGATGTTCAGATTAAAAAATTATCGTGACTAGTTGTGAACAAGGTCTAGTCACAGTCACGAGCACAAAATTTGTTTTAAAGTTAGTCACAGTTATAGTCGTGACCGTGATAATCATGAGTCACGGTGATGTCTAGAGTTGACATTTCTCTACAAAATGTGATAGTGAAGTAAGTTGTAGCTCCTACTTAAGTAAGGCTACAAGCATGTTTTCATGTACTCATTTCCACGTAAAACAACTGTCGATTTGTCAAGCAAAAACAAAAACTTCACATAGTGTATTTTTTTAGGACAAATTCTGATCTATAAATTGATATATAAATCAAAATCTCAATTTTTAGTTTCGAATCGAAATAATGAAAATATAAAAATGTTTTCGTCGAAACTAATTTTTTTAGGTTTTTCAAAGATTATTTTACTATACTCAAACAAAAATTGAAACAAAATTTCTAAGTCCATATTCGAAAAGAGTATTCTAACTCATAGCTTTTGACTCGTTGGAAATACTTTTTAGCGATTCCGAAGTAAACAAACATCTTGTTTAAAAACTTTCCAACTGTTTGTTATATATAGACGAATAAAAACATTTGTTTATGTAAGTCAAATGACTTTTTAATTTAAGTCTTTAAGAAGTATGAAGTATTATAAATAGATTATGATTAACCTCTTTCGAACTACAACGACGTGGTTTTGACATTGCCATAAGATTATGATGGACATGATGACAAAACTGTTCTTATTCTATAAGAGCGAATAAATTATTCTATCAATGAATAAAGGTTATAACATCAAGTTTTATTGTTTTCTCTTTTATAGGTATTTTTTTCTTTTAATTCTAAGTTTCTATTGAAACGTATCTAATATAACTGATTATTTATATTCTGATATTTATTTTGTTTATTCTGGTATAGAACGAATGCTTTTCTTAAGCTGGATAAATACATATCATAATAATCTCATGGATTATTTCAAAGAATGTCGGTCAACATATTTTGCTAACGGAAAGTAATAATCTTCTAAGTTATTAATATTACACAAATATGAAGAGAAAAAGAACGACTTAAGGCAAAAATGTAGGAATATCAGAAATCAAAGAAGCTCTTTTTTTGTTTCTTTTTTTTCTTATAAAATACTAACTATCATACCAAATGAAAGAGAATAGAAAATAATAAATGGCTACTTATTGAAAAAAAGACATAAGAGAAAGAAAGAAAAATAATAGAAGATTATCTAGCAGAACTCAAGGGAGACTTATGTAGTTGACTTATTTGTCAGTCGAAAATTCTTTGATGTTGATTGTTACGGTTATCGAAACACTAAGTAATTACTTATGCGCACTTGTCTTTATCACTGTCAATGTTATTGTTTGTCTGACGCGTCAATTACAATTTGGTTTGTTGATCAGATCTATCGCGCATTTCATACACAAGTAATCGACTACCACTCGAGTTATCATCTTTCTTCTTCTTCTTCTTCTTCTTCTTCATCATTACACAAAAAATTCATTATTTTTGTTTCTTCAAATTTATATCGCGTGATTAAACACGTTTGTTTCTTTGTAAAAAGAAACAAGCAATATTAAATCTTTGTTTTTTTGTTATTATCAATTGTCGTCATTATTAAATAAAGTAAGTTAATCTTTACAAACAAATTTATAACAGATGTGTCATTTTTCTACTCAAATTAACGTATTATGTATTATATTACAGGAAAAATAATATTATAATCACCATAAAAGAGCAATCAAAGAAAAAGAAATCAATAATCTTTATTGTTATGATATACACGTGGTCATGTAATTGACTAATAGAGAGACAATGTTTTTTGCACCTGGAACCTTTCGAAGAGCATTTATTTATTTTTCTCGTTAAAATTAGAATTTCACTACATATCTCAGTGATTTGTCAATAACTATTTGTAGTCAGATTAGTACGTCTGAACTTCTGAAATATATATATAGAATTGTTGTTTCTCTGGTTTTTTCATACAAATATAAACATATATCTATCAACAAGCTTTCATCTTACCGTTGACATTAGCCACCACTCAGTATATCTTGTTTCCTTTTTATTAATTGTCTAATAACGTAAATGACGGGATCAGAAAGACCTTATTAAAAGGCTATATGTTCTTTATATGCAAATAATATTCATAGAAAAAAAAAAAGCAAAAACAAATATAGTTAGTTGTGTGTCTTTTAGTATAAAGTATCTATAAGCATAACCAATTGGAAAAGAACAATCAAACATCATCAGTTGAGTCGTCATCAGCACGTGCGATATCATTCTCAGTTGGAGACACGAATAGCTAAATATGATGAAGAACATACCAATGTTTAGAGATAAAAATGATGTGTCTACATAACTATCGTCAGAAGTGTTTTCTATTATTCTTTTAGAAAGCGAAGACGAGGAGGAGCGAAATGATAAAGTTGATGATAGAAAAGACTCTTTATTATTATGTAAGTTTATAACTTATTCTTCTTCTATAGTATGATAATGATAACACCAAATGAGTTTCTTCAATTTGCTAATGAAATGGGTCTTGGAAGAATAAAATCTACATCACCATCACCATCACCATTAATATCACATAATAATAATAATAATTGTACAACAACAGGTTTATCTGTACTTAATAATTTATGTCATCTTATTGAAGAAATTCATCAATTAAAAACTGAAAATAATCGTTTACGTGCACATCTTGAATTAGTTAATCATGTTGAATTATTTCAACAACGTTTTGTAGTAAATGATACTAATGAAAATAAACAAGAAAAAAATGAATCAATTATCTCTTCACCATCTATTCATGATGAAGAAAAATTCGAAGCATTATCACCAACAAGTTCATTAAAATCTAAATCTTCTCCGTCAATTCGAGAACGAAAAGGTAATGTTCTTTTATTTTGTTTATTTTTTTTAAATTTTTGTCATAATATATGAAAACTTTCACATGATCGAAAAGAAACAAACTAAATTTAAAAACAAAAAAAAAAAGAAGATTAATCATAACTGCTCATTTAATCTTGACATTTGTCAATTGTGACATATCAAGTGTTTAAGAATGTTTATTATATAATTTATTATGTGCAAATTACCACAAAGATAACATAATAAAATCTTGAGTTCTTTTTCAAAAGATGTACTGTTAAATATTCTACAGTAAATGTATGAAAAGATTCTTTTAAACTCTTCTAATGAGTTTTGATCAAACCAAAAAAAAAAAAGCAACAATATATGAAAGATTGATATTTCTCATTATAATGGAAGTAAAGACAGAAGATGTTTGCTATAAAAAAAAATATATATATTTTGCATTTATCTCTACATATGCAAATTTTGTATTGTAAAGTTCTTAAGAATAAGCTAAACGATTTTCTTGACTTATGCTAATAGATTTCAAGATAGTTCAAAAAAGGAAAGATGTATGACATGCTTTGTTTTCTCATAATGTAGAATATGATTCGTTAAGTCTATCTTGATTTTGATATTGAAATTCTCTTTTCTAAGGCGTTTACACCCAAGAGTGTAACTTTCGGAGAACATGTGGAGCGCAACACTTCCTGTTGCTTTTGAAAATTGTTTCACACAGCATTCCTTTTTCTGGCACTCAGCTATTCTGTACTTTCTGTCTTCAGTGTTGAGTTACGCTTCTGTTTATACTACTGTCAATGTCAATATTTCATGTAGATTTCGAGGGTGAACATCTATTTTTTAGAATACAGATACATAGTCCCTGCTACAATAGTCACAATCTTCAAAAGAACGGACCTCATACGACTTTCCTTTGAGCTCTCTTAAAATCGATTAGTATAAATTGAGAAAGTCTTTTACTTTAACTATCCTGAAGGATTTAAGTTTTTATGATTTGTCTATGTAGAGATCAATGTAGAATACATAATACAAAAAAAACATCTTTTTCTTTACGTCCAATATTATGAGAAACACCAATCTTTCTTAAATAGTTTTGTTTTTGGTGTCGTAAAAATTCATTAGAACAATTCAAAAGAATCTTTTGATATACTCTTGATAGAGAATTCAACAGTGCGTCTTGTGTCAAAAGGATTCAAGATTTTATTATTTATATGTACAAAGATGTATACATAATAAATAATATTACAAATATTCTCGAATTTCTCATGTTTTTTAATAGGTATACACTTTTTTAATAATCAAGAAGATTCTTCATTAATATCACATATTAATCATGATCGATCGGAACAGACCGATTCTAATATTGGTAAATTCACTAAAATGTTTATTGGATTAATAAAGTTTTTCTGTAAAACTTTTCTTAAGGTTTATCATCTATATCAAATAGACAAAATTGGAGTAAAGTTCGACATGTTTTTAAATTTTCTCTTCTACGAAAATACGGTTCACCTTCAAGTTCTCTTATAACAAATGTTGAAAGAAACATACCAGCAATAAATATATCTCTAGAAAGTGAGGAGGATCATTTACAAGAACATAAACATTCATTGAAGAAGAAGAAAACTGTAACAACAACGAATGATAATCGACAAATGATTATGGGTGATGAAACTGATCAAGAAGATGAATCAACTCAATTTAATAGATCATATCATACGAGAAGACCTAATGAAACTGACAGACTCAATTCATCAAGTCTTGAACGTCAGGAAATACTATCAACAAGTTCACCTTGTAATGCTACAAATATTGATGATGAAGGTTTATTAACACGTAAACCATCAAAAATCGGTAATTATTTTGACTGAATGACTTGAAAGAAAAAAATCAGGAAATGAATTTTAGAAAAATCTTACGTATTAAAAAGAAAAGCAAATTAGACTTCCATTTCTATTAATAGCAGTATCACCTTTTCATACGATGTTAGTTGTCTCCGGTGAATTTGATATTACTTTATATTCTATTGAATTTTTCACTAAGTTTAAGATCAAGATATAACTTTTTTTATATTGAAAGAGAAATGACGTTAATTTTTTTTTTTGTCTAAAATGATAAATAATTTAATATAATTGTCCAGAGAAGATCTCTCAGAATTGTCTTCTGTTGACTGTAGGATATATTGTAAGTTCAGTGTGATATTATTTAAAATACTTTGATCTCTATATTATTTTCTCTTTTAATTTTATAATAGATGAAGAAGAAACATCCTTGCTGTTCGACTACCATGCAGTAGATTAGTAGCCTGAAATCTTCTCCTACAACTAATACAAGCTGTAATTCTAGGCAGAAGGCCAGCCTGACATAGAGTTCTTGAACTCTTCATACATATTAACTATCCACAAGAGCAAGTGTATGTCACAATGTAGTCAGCATGTCATCGGACGACTGATAGGAGACAAACAGCCGTCAGTAACTTGTCTAAGGTTATTCTATGTCAGAGGGTATCGAGGATTTCGTACAGTACTGTGTGGATACATATCAATCAACGCAGCCACTCAACAATGGCAAATTTATGATAGATAGTTATCTTATTTATCTGTAAATCTTTGAAGTCAAACTAAATTAAAAGTAATATACAATTATATATTCAATCTTCTTTAAAATCATTTTATCTGTTGTTTTTCTTAAGAAAAAGAAAATATAATACTTGGATATACTTTCAAATGTTTTATTTGTCTAGATATTTTAATATTACTAAATTTTTCAAAAAGTCATAGTTACATAAAAATGTTTGAATTATTTATATTAACAATAAAGAAAATATTGAAATAATTAGAAGATCAACATGCGATCTATTCATCATTGAAATATTAATTGATAAAAAAAGAAAACAATATAGAATACAGAATATTTTATAAAAATTACAGAATCATATTTGAAAATTTTCCTAAATAGGCAAAACGATACGTTATCTCATTATTTTATATACGCATATATGAAAGACAAAATAACAAATCTATATATACTTTCTTCATCTTTACCTAAGCATGCCTCCAGTAAATATTATCTAAATAAAAAGAAAACAAAAATCTCTTTTAATTATTCTTTTTATATCATTCATAATTGTTTAGTTCAAAGATGAAAAGCTATTAAAATTTTCTCATGATATAATAAAAATAAAACGAGAGAGACGGAGAGAAAATCTTTGATAGTAACTTGATTGAGAGATCATCTTTCTGTAGAAATTTTGATGATCGTTGGAAAATTTCCTTTTTTATTTTTTCTTTATTTAAATTGTAGCTCGTTATCGACGTAAACTTCGTTCTAAACTTGATACTGTTAAAAGACAATTCAGTGATCAAAATTCATCATCATCGTCACTACGTCTTTTTAATACTTCACATGTATCAGTATTTGATGATATTGGTAATTTATTCAATTAAGTTTAAAATTCACTAGAAATTTTATTTTTCTTTCAATTGATTTATTTTACTAGGTTCAGGAGTAAATCGTGCATTATTAACCGCACAATTAGCACCAGCTTTAACAAAATCTTATCAACAAAAAATGCGTGAATGGGAATCAATGCAAAAAAGTCGTTTTCTTGGTTAGAAATCCTATTTGATTTTGCTTTTTTTTCCTTACTAAACCAAAATGTGTTTTGTTTTTTATTTTTGTAGTAAACTACCGTCGACAATCCATAGTACCTAAAATTGATTTCATTAATAATTCTCGAAAAGTTTCAATAGCACCAATAATAAAGAAAATATCGCAAGATCGAATAACTTTACCATCAACTATTGAAAATTGTTCATCATTAATTAATGAATTAAATCTTGAAACTCAAACAAATTCAATAATATTAAGTCCAATACTTTCACCTAATCAACGATCGCTTATTTTACATCAATGGCGTGAAATTATGTTAGAAGAAATTTCACTTCGTCATTATAATGAATATCTTCAGAAAAAAAATGAATTTATTAAAAGAACTTGAAACAAATTTAAAAACATTAAAAACAAATATTTTTTGTACTAATTATAATACAATTAAACAACAATCAAAAATAAATATTCAAGATTATGATGCATATAAAAAATTATATTTACCACAACGTTGTCGTTCATTACAATCATTAGTATCAATGCCTGCTTCATGGGTATTAGCTGTACAAAGTGCTGCTTATTCTGATGTATTAGATGGTACATCAAAGAAAACAAATGAACGAGCAATTTTATTTAATAAAGATTTCTTTGATCAACTTGAACAATTTAAAAAAGAACGATTTAAATTTGAACAAGATTCTGTAAAAGAATTACAATCATTAAATCCTTCATTGTGAGTAAAAAAAAAAAAAAGAATAAATTTTTTTTAATTATAAGAAATCATTTGTTTTTAAAACTAAGAACAAAAAAAAAAAAGATCAAATAGAATTGATTTGTTTTATATTGATAACACTTTTTTTTTCTTTTTTGAAACATATCAAGTGTTTTCTTGAATGAAAAGTTAATTATCTCGATATCAAACAAAAATAAACCTACATTCAATTAGATGGCCACCATGTCATACAAATATTCTTCATAGAAAAAAAGAACATAATATCAAAAATTCGTTGACAGCACAAAATATATTTTTATCAGTAGACTCGTCTGTTGACAAAAATAAAACATTGTTTCTTTTCATGTCTTTATATTGATTGAAAATAATGATCCATATCATTATCAATTGTTGACAGTATATTATTAACCGTCGACAGCTTGACCTAAATATTATTTAAAACTAATTTTATTATTAGGACAAAAATATTTCGAAAACAAAAAAAGAAGTTTGTTTTTTTTTTAGTCAACAAAGACTTATCGGCTTTAATAGAATAATTAATAATGAAATTGTAATTCTTTTAAAAAAAAAACAGAATAACTCAAAAATTTTCTTTTCTACAAAATAATTTTTGATATTTTATTTCCTAAAATACCTCAATAATTCTTATCATCGTACAGTAATGAAACGATATGAAAATAATAGAAAAACAAACCACTAATTACTATTTTGTTTTCTTAGAACAAATCAAAACCCAATTACAAATACAATTCGCTCAACTAAACCTAGTGTTAAACTTATTCGTACATGTGGTTCTTTACGTAAATTATCTCTTGTATCATATTCACAATTTCCTCAATATTTTCTACCTGGTCCTGTACTACCATTACAAACAGTTATACAATCAAAAGAAGAATCAACATCAATAATAGAACCTATTTCAACAACAACAATAAATGAAATTGATTCAAATAATAAATTATCAACAGATAATTTTAATAAAGAATCCAAACGTTCACGTTTTCAGTTAAAAGAAACTTTTCAACGTAATAAAAGTATGTGTGTCAATCATTTTCAAACATGGTTTCAACGTCGTCAACATCCACATTCATGTAAAATAAGACGAAAATCAATTATAAAATCTAAAGATGAAACATCATGTTTAACACCAATATTTCATTCACCACGTTTATTTCGTCTTCATGAAAGAATATTTAAACATCAATCTCAACCTTTACAACAAATTGTTCATATTTCAAAACCATTAGAAACTCTTGATGATTCTGATAATCAATCTCAATATGAATTACCTGTTAGAATTTATTTTCCACCATTAACAACTCCGATACCTCGTCATGTACGTAATACTCATATTGATATAGTAAAATCAACAAATGATAATCATGATATGAATATTGAACAAACATTTAATCATTCAATAACATCAATTACAAATCGAAAAGATTCATTCTCATTTCAATTAACAACAGCTAAAAAACGACGAGAAAGTTTTGTGACATTATCGAACATTATTAATAGCCGATGTTTATAAATATTTAATCGAACAGAAAAGAAAAAAGAATTTTTATTTATATTAACACAAGCTTTATTTCTCATATTTGAATATAAGAAAAAGAAAAGAAAAAGAAGACTTTTTTTACAGCGAATTTTATTAGAATTAAATTTAAAAGAATTTTTCTTAATTTTATCAACAATTTTTGCCTTTTATTTATTTCATTGATAATATTTTATATTGTAAATATTCAAAATTAATGCACTGTTTTATGCATGAGATGCTAGAATTCTATTGAAATAGAAAGACACCGCCTGTTGCCTTTATATCATTAGACATACTTCAACATTGATTGACTTATTGAAGCCTCACTATCATTCTTGTGTATTTCTCTTCTTTTTCTTTCCTATTAATCTGTAAGAATCATGTATATTTAGCTTGCGTCTATGCACGTGTATTCTTATATCTATTTCATCAAGGCAAGAAAAGATGAGTGTCGAATAATATATGGAATAACACCAAAAACATAACTGTCATATTGTAGCTACAGTCGTGCAGTACTCGAGGTAAATTATTTAGTATATGTAAAATGACAGAGTTTTGATATGCATGAAACCATAGACAAATATAACTAAAACAAGATATTTTATATAACATCTTATTTTCTATCCTAATCATCTATGACAACAGGAATCAAGCGAGAATCACGCACTTTTCTTATAACTTGGCAAGGTAAGTAAAAAATATCAGTGAAGAATAACATCAAAGTGTAAACTCAATTGAACCATATGCTTTTATTAAATTAGGCACATTAAAATCATTGAATCAGTCATAGATAAAATAAATATGTCCAAAACCAAAAAGTACTTTAGAAGGCATTTCACGTAAACTCTTAAGGACATCCTATATCTGTCGATACTATTTTTCATTCTTTGTTACGCATCATATTGCTACGACTAGCATTTGTTTTATATTCTGAGGATAAAACTTTCCAGTTCATTAAACATATATTATGCTTACATATTCTAAGCACATTATGTTATGCAAACAAGAAGATTTGGATTAGTGTATGACATATATTAAATATTGCTTTTAAAATAAAGCTGAGTAAGTTTTGTTTTTCTTTTTATTGTATTATATTTCACTTGTCAATTTTCTTATGTACCATTTAAATGTAATCCAAGAGAGACACAGATCACGTATACGCATATAAGAGAAATTCATCGTGTCTAGCATTATCAATAAACTAATAGTTTTTTCCTTTTCGCTGTTCGGGTGTGTAATTGAATAAAAATAAATAAATTGTGTTGGTCATTGAATCACATCGATCTGTTCTAGCACTCAAAATCGACGAGACGATTACTGTTGTTCGTTCGATTTTTCTTTTTTCTTCTTTCCTGTCCGTAATATTATTGTCTTATATATGGTAATCATAGATCCTATATGAAATTTTCATTATCGGAAATTAACAGTTGATATTCGTATATAAGAATCTTTTTTTTTAAAGTCATTTTGACCTGTAATAAAAAGTCTTTACACGGAAATCAAATAATCTTTTTCTTCTTATTTGTATTCAAAAATATAGAGAATATGAGAAATCAATATTATTTATTTGATTGAAATATTTTGTATTTTCTTTTTTTTCTGCCGACGTATTACTCTCTGAAAGAAACGAATAATATAGGAAACAATTAGTTTTTGTATTATTATAACAATAAGGTAGTGGTAGATTTTTTTCCCTTTTACATTTATCATGGTTTTTTTCTTTCTTTCATTTGCTTATGTCCAAAATAATAAACAAATATAATGTTTAGAAAAAGAAAAAGATGTTCTATGTATTCTTTCATGTCTCTATATATCTTGAAGAGAAGAGTAACTGAGTAGAAGAAATTTTATATCTTGTTCGAGCAGATGCATGTAGAAAAAAAAATGCGAGAGTGATTTTCTTCTTTGTCTGTTATTCTCTTAGACGTTCTGTCTTAACTAATAAATGAGTATATACCAAAAGAAAATGAAGACTTGAGAAGTGTCAGTAAAAAAGAAATTTCTAACAATGTAAACATGAGGCCATTTTTCTATGCATCTGCAGTTATTAAAAAATTATTAGTACAAGACATTCCGTCGAAATCAATCTCTATCTACAAGCGTTAACATCATGTTTGCATGTATATATAGATTTTCTTATTTAGGTGATATCTAATCACCATATTTTTCTTTTGTTTAAATATTTAACTCTTGTAAGCATGAATGAAAATTCTACACTAAAACTGAATGTCTATCAAATTAGCCTGGCTCACTTTATGCCATAGTTTTTATACTACTCTTTAGGTTCTATAAATACTACTGTCACTAGAAAAAAATAGTTATTATCATTTTCATCATTTCTTCGGAAACAAAAAAAAGAAATTTTTTTAATGTTATCTCCATAGAATTTTTCTCTTCTCCAAAAAAAAGAGAAGAAAAGAAAACCATACTTCACCCTTCGAATGTCAACATATGAAAAAAGAAGAAAACAATGTACCAACAATATTTTTAGTACGTAATATATATCTTTGTTTAATTATATGATAATAAAAGATTAGCACTAGAAAAATACTTTGTATGAAAATTAAAAGAAAAGAATGAATAATTGTTTTATATCTGTGTAAAAAAATGTTTTTCCTTAGCTATTAATAGAATAACAATTAGAAATCTATTGTGTTTATTTTTCTACTTTGTGATAATTCAAATAGAAGAAAAACGTACATTTAATTTTTTAATATTCTTTAAATAACTTAAAGGAAATTCAATTTTTCAAAACGATACATTTGTAAGAAATTTTTTCAATTATCTAAAGAGACTTTGTTTTTTTTTCTACTGTATCTATTGCATATAAATATTGTTCGATAAGAGAAGAAGAGCTTGACGGAAATGCTGTGATGATCAGGTCAACACTAAGGTCATTTTCATTTTATCCATTCTACTCAAATATCAATCAGAAAAATTTTACTTCAATGATTTTTAATAAGAGAATTTGCCTTTTTTTTGTTATACGTTTCTATCTTTACATCGAAGAATGATACTCAGTAAATACATTTTGACTTGCTTACTAAACAACTTACAATTGTGTCTTAATAAAAATAAAAATAAAGCAAGAAACCAAAAAGAAACAAATAATACATCTGTCAACTGTATTGCTATTGTTTTATCTTATATGTACGTATCAAAACTATCAAATAGATATGTTTATTATTTTAGATTGATTTGTATTAATAGTTATCACTGCATATCATCTTACTTCGATGAATTGTACTGAAGGTAACAAAAAAACGAATGATTTTTATTATCAAACTAATAAACAAAAAAAAAACATTTTCAGATCCAAGTCGTATGATTGACATACATTTTCGTTCGCCTTTTGCCTTTTGGACATTAGGTGTAATTAGTGTTATACTATCCATATTATCAGATGCTGGTAATTTAATTAATTTATTTGTTCTTACTCGACGTCATATGCGATCAACAATGACAACACTTTTAGTTACACTTGCTTGGGCTGATCTTGTTCCACCTACTGTTGCTTCATTAAACAGCATACTATTTTATTATTTTTTACCACGTATGAATAATTCATCAACATTTTTAACTACACATATGATTGCACGAGCTATTTTTAATGGATTAGCAAATGTATTTACAACATTTAGTAATTGGCTTATTGTATTAATTACAACATTTCGATTAATTGTTGTGAAGGTAAAAAAAAAAAAAAATATGGCTGTGTTTTTTGTTAACTAGACTTTTTAACATAATGAAGATATTAATATTCAGAAGAGAACAAAGAGATCTATGGACAAACTCATTTCTGGTTAATCAATCAAAACCAGATATTAATTATAATATGTCATGAAATTAATAATAGATATATTTTAATGCCTATGACAGACTATGAAAAATATTTTTCTCTTATTTTCATACCCTACAAAAGAATCAGAGAATCAGATCTAATCAATTGTATTTCACAAAAAAAAAGTATTAATTATATATGCTAGTATTTGATTCATGAAATATGATTGAATGATTTTATTTATGTTTGAATAATTTATTGTTAAAATAAATAATAATCTATTTATAGTGCTAAGGAAAAAAAAAAGACGAAGAATACATTTGAATACTCGCAAGTGAAACTAAGATCACGTCGCCTCCGGACACTAAATTATTGGTCTCGGCATACATGAAATCAGTTTACATGATAAGTGTAACATATTTATAAGAAAAAAAAACAGTAGAAACTCGATTGCTGATGTTGTATGAAGCCACTAGAAGCTTTTTTTTTGAAGTATACTGTTTGTTTCTCGCTAATTTGTATATAGGAGGTTATTTGAGAAACAATCTTTACTAGATAGATGGTTACTATGTTTTTTTTTTTCTTATTCTAATAATATTGATGAAGAGAAAATTCTCAATAAATCATAATTGAAATGAACACTATCGAAAATTATAAGACAAATTAATAATAATATACATAGGAAATTATCAATGATCAGAACATACAGTCATTAGCATAGAAGAAAATGATTATTTAGCATATGATTTTTTTTTATTGCCCGAAGATAAATTATGAAAAGAAAAAGAGAACGTTTAAGAATACTATAAACAAATTATATGAATAAAAAAATTTTTATATTAATTATAGCAACCATTAGTGGCAAAAACTTATTGTAATCGACGTACTGCTCGTTATGCAATAGTAATTATTCTATTCTTATCAATATTTGTTAATATACCCTTATTTCTTTTTACAAGTATACGAGTTTATTGTACTAATAATGGTTTAATAAAATATTATAGCCTTGGAGGATCACCATTATTACGAACAAAATTTTTTTCTCGATTTTTTTATCCAATAATGGTAACAATATCTTTACTTTTTCCATGGTTAATATGTTTTTTGATTTGGTTATTTTTAATACGTGCATTACGTTCAGCACAAAGTCAATTAACAAAAAAAAATGTTAATACGACATTTCGTAATGATCGTAAGCAAGATACATATTTTCGTATAACATTAATGATTGTTTGTGTATTAACTGTTTATATGATATGTCGTAGTGCACATTTGCTTGAAGTTATACATTTACTAATAGCACCATTATTTAGTATTCAACAACAAATATATTTTAATAAAATACGCATTAAATTGTATTGTATATCAAATATAATGTTAACTATAAATCATGGTGCAAATTTTTATATTTATTCAATAAATCCAAAATTTCGTTTAACACTTAAATTATATTTAACATATTATTTTCGTCGTTGTCGTATAAAACGTCGACGTGCATTTACGTTATTTCATTTACGTCGAAAAAAAACTAATGATAGTTTAGATGGTTTAAGTGCACAAAATGATTTTAATCGTTCAATTATGTTAACACCATCAAATCCTAATGAAGGCAATCAAAGATTTTCTATTAATCATAATCTTCTTACTACAAATGGAGGTGTTTATAAGCAAAATTGTACAATAAATAGTATAAGAACACCACAAAAATATTTAAGACAATTTTTGGATGCTAATTCAAATAATGAAAATTCTGAAAAAAGTTATGTTTGGAGAGAAATTGAACAAAGACTAAAATATCATAGAAGAAATCATTTTCAATAAGAAATTTTATTATTGAGATTTCTTTATTTTTTTTTCTTTTGCATAAATCTATATGTACATTATTCTTTGACATAAAAAAAAAAAAAATTTTATGTTTTTCTTTGTTATTATTTATATATCAGTCAAAATTATATTCTAAATAAAGATTATGTTTATTTTTGATTGATTTAAAATATATATTAAAATAATCAATATAGATTTATCGAATCTCGAAAACATTAATATACATGAAAAATTAGTTGTTCGAAGCCAATAGTAAATGATTATGTACATCAGCTTATCATTAATCTGATACAATAGTGAGATAGTAATTAGAAAATATTCTGTTCTTAAGAATTCATTTTTTTACATTTACATACACATTACTGCTTCATTAATCATGGAGCAACACTCACTAATGGAAGTGAAAAAAAAACATCAAGATGAATTAATTAATCTGTACGATTCATAATTTGTGATCATATAGGATTATCGGTATAGAGAAAAAGTATTTCATAATTATATAAAACATGATTGAAACATTGAAATAATTCAATCTAATTTACAACAAATAATTTTGTTTATATAAAGAACTATAGGAAACTATGTGACTTCTTCGAACTTTATTCAGTTGATTATTATTTTCTAGAACAAAACTACAATCGAATTAATGTTAAATGATATGATATAGAAAACAACATTAGTATTAGAAATCTCTTGTTAACTTAAGTTCGAAAAAAAAGGTTAATATGTTATCAGATAACGAAAGTATTTTCATGACATTAACAAATATGATACTTGAAATAGGATATATTCAGATCCTTTTTTTTTGTTAAGATCAACATTGATATGTCGAAAACCTAATTGCTACATTTGTTAGGAAAATTTGTAAATTTTACAAGACAAATCTTAATCTATTTCACATGTAAAAGAATATAATTTTGATATAAGATTATAATGATTTTAGTTTATGTTCATAAATGAATTTATTAGTTAGCTAAAGCAATAGACATTATCGTCTTTCATCTAAGGAAGTAAAATAATAGAAGAAGAAGAAGCATGTCAATAATATCTCATGACTTTGATTCATTATTACATAGTACGATTTCAAATTAACAGCATAGGCATACACAAATTTCTGACCAATTTATTTTAATTATGTATGCACCGCAGGGTTATTACAAAATTACACGGAAAATGTTCTTGTTTGAACGATTCTTTCTCAAGAATCCCGAAAGACTTATAACATATATATATATATATATATATCTGTTTTGTTTTTGACATTTTCTATCGTATCTTTTATTTAAACATGATTTTGTTAAAGTTTCCTACTATACTTAGAAGTAATAAATGTGAAACAAGAAATATTTATAGCAGCTAAACCTGTGTGAAACATATACATAATATCTCAAACACCTGCATTTGTAATTTAATATAAGACTCGTATTTGTATTAATTATATTTAATAGTACACTCTGAGATCCTTTTTTGCACTCGTATATGGTTTATGATTAAATAAGAGCTCCGACTTGTCTGTTTCGACATTTCAATATGGAATAATTAAAAAACCGATTGTTTTACATCTAGTTACTAAAAAAAACCAATAATTCAAAGATTTTAGAACTGTCAATCTAAAGAGTTCAAGGTCTAATATTAATAAATATTTTGCTTATTCTTTTATGATAACCTTGGTTATATGGACTAATTAGTTTTATATATAAGAAAAATAATACATATAGTTGATGTTGTTGTTTTTCTTTATATATGTTATTGATAAGAACTTGTTGTTGACAGCAATATAATAAGAGTAAAGAAGATTACTATCTATCATATCATAGGAAAAAAAAAACAATTGTTATTTTACACTATCTTCTAATGATTAATTACTTCGGATTTTTTATGCGTGTGCTAAAGAATTTTTTTTCTTATATAAATTATCTTTAACTTTCCCTCTACAAAAATAAATTGCACTTCTTACAGAAATAATTATTTTTAGTTTTATAATAATACACATTCGATGTAATTAAAAAAATGACTTAGTTTAACAAGTAAGACTATATCTTGTATACTCGTTCAGTGAATTTTCATGATGCACAATTTCTACTTGAATGAACAAATATGTTGAAGTTGAATACTTATTCTAAATAAACTTTTTTCTAATTAAAAATCCAGTAGTCATAGTTCAGAGAACCGCACTGAGAAAAAATGTCTTCTTAATTAGAATTTCCTGTTTTTTTTTTCTGACAACATGCCGGAATGACATCAAACCAATCGAGGGACTTAAAAAATAACATTTTGAACGAAGAAACGGACATTAAAATTAATGTTTTTTTTTTTCAATTCCATTGATTAAAATAGACATCATCAAACTGACAATTCATTGTTCCGGAAACAAGCAGATTTTCACCGGAACCTATTGGCAAGATGCGGAGAACTCATTGTATATGGAAAGCCAAATTCCAGATATCGATGGAAGTTGTATGTAATACTCCGGAGTGGGTTGTCACCAGATTTTTCTAGGGACATATGACCTTTTTTTATCAGAAAAAAACAAACCAAATCTTCTAATGGAAGTTATCGAGATAATCCGAATACATTCCAGTGCGAAATACTGCGTTCAAGTTCTGTCGATTTCTACAGTGAATCATCAAAAACTGAACTACACAAATCCTTTTAAAAAAGAATTAAAATACATCTTGTTCTCACGAATAATCAACCGATTAAGAAAAATCATTCAATGTATGCCTTTAAAAAGATAACTAACATTTCTATAAAATATTAAATCTCATTAAATTGACACAAATTCTCAAAGTTCATATGGATTAGTATGATTATAAAGAGAAAAGCCACTAATTTAGATTCGAATAGGGACCATTCACAAAAGACATTTAGGTAAAAGTCGCACTTTTTGATTCTTCTCTTCCTCTCCTCGGTCCAGTTTCATTGATTCACTTGTCCATCTAGACATCTGATATAAAAGTAATGACTTTCTAGAAAGGACCTGCTTATTCAAACGTATTGCTTCCTTTTATTAAAATAATATATATCAAAAATAGAAATGAATAAACACATACTTCTTAAACGATGAAGTTTTTGTTTTTCAAAATACTTTGTATTTTAATGAATCGAAAATAGTAAAAACAAAAAATGAAATTCAATACAAATGGTACTCAAAAATCTAACAACGTTCATACTATTGCTCGAGAAAAGAACAACTTGCTCATGTAGCATAACCTTCAATTATGTCAACACCATGTTCATATTTAACTGATTTTTCTCTTTAAAAGTCCTCTTCAAAACAAACTAAACTTCAAAATTCTCTTTCCTTCGGTCCACTTTTGACGCATCCTTCTCTCCTCTTTACCTGAACGTTCTTTACGGACGTTCCTATATAATGTCAAAAAATTAGAAATAAACTTCTGACGTTGTTTTAAGTGGAACTAAAGAGTAGTAACAAGAAATCTATTTAGAAAAAAAAGGAAATGTCTACTTCTCATAATGAGCGTCGGTTTCTTTGTTAGTTATACAAAGATACAATATACTTGCATTTTTATTATGATACTCATTATAACAAGCTGCTTTCCAAAAAAAAGAAAAAAGAAGAGCGGAAATCAGCAATTGAAAGTGCATTAGAAGGTCAGTTGAAATTTGAGATTTTTCAAGCAGTCTGAAGTTCTCTTGCGTAAAAAAAAATATTGTTCAACCTTGTTTTTCAATTATTTTCCATAATACATCAGAAAAATGTTTTACTTGATCGACTCATTGTCTGTAAAACACAGCTTTATCCTTGAAGCATAAAAATAGGCTAATTAGGCACAATGCTAAATGTGATTGTTGTGAATAAATTAACTCTATCAATGTGTAAGATTATTGGATGTTTTTGTGGTTTCAAGAATAAAATTTCATTATTTATCGCTTGTAGCTGAGTATTTGAAATCCGAATATCTATGATTGAATCTCCTCGATTAATATTGAACTCATCTTAAAATCAATTTAATTTGTTTTTTTTTCTATTATGAATTTATATCGAATTGATATGCAAAAAAAAGAAAACTTTAAATAAAAATGTCAATTAAATATCAATTATGTGATTTGATTCGAAGGAAATAAAACGTATATATGTGATCATAATTCATCAACTCGACAGACAATGATTAAAATATCATCTCGACCATCAATAATATATCCTAAAAATAAAACTATATATTTTTTGATTAATTAGAAAACTATTTAAACATACCATCAACTGCTTGTTTAAGAAGATCATCAGCTAAATTTTGAAGATGCTATAAAAAAAATCTTTTATATATCATATATAAAAATTTTTCATATAAATATAATTACTTTATTTTTGTTACGTTCAACAACTTTTTGTAATTGATCAGATTCAATTACATCCCATAAACCATCAGAAGATAATATAATAATATCACCTTTTCGAACTTTAATATTATCTAATGAACAATCTTGTAGAAATTTACTAGACGATAATATGAGAAACAAAAAAGAAATAATAGAAATTTTATTTTTGTGGAATTCATATATATTTTCGAAGAAAATAGTGAGTGTATATTTTGCCGCCGATAGACACTAGCAACTTGGAGTGAGAGGGGACAAGTCAAAGATCAATGGATAAGTTTTCCTAGTAGTCGAGTGAGACGAAGAGGTCACCAATCATTTGGTATGTTTTACTAGCAACGGAAAAAAGGAATATCGGCAATAATCGTACTTAGATCATTTTGAAACTTTCTAGAATTCTCCAAAATATGCTATGAATCTAAAATTTCTACTGTAGATTGCAACTATATAGTGTAAATATTTCAGGATTTGATATCTAATGCAGCAAAAGAATTTTATTGTAGGTGTTAATCAGTAGGGCGGTGGTATTATTGATCTAGCAGAGTCCAGAATAAAATGGGCATAGAAAAGTATGAACTAATTGAATTCGAAGTTTAGACAAAATTCAATAGTATATGTCAAAATTTATCAAGAGAAACGATGGTGTACTCGGAAACTTAATGAACGATTAAATTAATCTGTGTAGTAGACTAATATGATGATTGAAACGAAGAATAAAATGATATTTGCTGCTTTCTATGGCATGCACCATATATATTATCATTATGAGACAATAAGTTATATATTGAAGATGTATCTGACAATATAAATAAATTTTTTTGGCATAATGATGTTAAATGAATTTAATAAATTAATAGAATAGTAATTCTAAATGGAAACATTTTCGAAATGATAAAATTTCAGAGCGTGTGTATCAATTATAAAAATTGTTATGATTTTGATTTATTCATTTATTTGGTATTTTTTTTTCAATAAATTATTTTAACCCTCTGATAATATACCATAAACTTATAATAGTCAGAGTTTATGAGTTCAAGATTTTAGCTTTTCATAGAGACTGTACTAATAATTTTTTACTTACGTTTCATGCATAGAATAAGATAAACCAATTGAATCATTAAGAACAAATAATTGTCTCGGTCCACAACCATTTGAACTCATTGTACATGTTGATCGACAATATATTTCATTATTACGATAAATAACAAATCCACTATCACCAATATTTAATGATGTTAATGTATGTTCTTGTTTATCCAATGCAAGTAAACATAATGTACTACTGCCTGAAAAATTCATTAGTTTTTTTTTGTTCTTATAAATAAAAATAATTTATTTCAAAAATCTCTACCTTGAACTTCACTTGCTTCAACTTGTTGCATGGCTGATTTAATTAATCGTGGTAATTGATTAGGTTTGAAATTATTTCGATGAAGAATTTTTTTCACAAGCAGCTAAAATAGCTCGAGAAAAATCCGCTGGATTTATTCCATATGAACGATTACCACCAGCACCATCAGCTAGACCTTTACAAACAATAATTAAATATTAAAATTTATTCTATTTTCTTTTTTTTTATAATATAATTTAAATTTACCAACAAAACAAAAATTTCGATTTTCAACAATCATTCCAGCATCATCACCAAAATCTCCATTATTTAAATTTAAATTTGATAATGGTAATTGTCCTCGTAAAGATTTTGATGCACCATTAACAGCAATACGTAAACATAAGTGTTTTTCAATTTTTGCCGGATAGATTCCTTTATGAATAATTTGTCCTGTAGATACTTTGTAAGTAGATAATTTACGTTCATTAGATATTTCTGTATTTTTATTAGTAAATTTTATATTTATATGATCAATAAATGCAGCTACACGTTTATTATATTGTTTGTTCGATAACCAAGTTTCATCATAGATTATTGTTGGTTCGATTCGAGCTGATGATGAGTTTTGATATAGATGATTAAGTGTAGGTACTGATGAATAATTATGATTTGTCTTTTCTTCGCTATATTTACGAAAATTTGAATAATGACCAATTTTATGTGTTGAACTAGAAGAAATTAATTTGCAATTTTAATCATGAACTATCGAAAAATAATTTGACAAAATAATCGTTCATCTTTTTTCACTCTCTTAAGAGAGGTTGCAGAAATTTGTGTTATTTCAAAGTATGACTTCAAAATTTTTATAAAATTTCTAATTGAAGAATTATGAAGCGACGTTTTTGAGGCTCGTAAATTGAGTTTGAGCGAGCTTCAGTGCGTTAAGACTTATTCAAAGTAGAACTAAAAGTTATTTCAAATATAGTGAATGAAAGAACAAACATTTCTCTATAAAATGGTATACTAATGAATAGTTTGCTTCAAGTCATTTATCAACAGGGAGTATTTTGATAAGAAACACCGTGTCAATTGTCTCGATTTCTATGGAAAACAGACTTGCAAAGTGAGCTCGATGATTTCTGAACGATTGTTCTGAAACTCTTGATTTCTATGTCACTTTGTAGAGAACAATCTTGCATTTAATTCTATGCAAAAAAAAACCCGGTAATATAATGCATGTAGTAGAGGAGCTTATAAAAAAAAATATCAATTCTCTCGATCAAAATTTCATTCTTGCGTCTCTAAAAGATCAACTCATTCTTAAGTCAAAAGTCCTTAAGAAATGTTGAATCTATATTCAGAAACAACACAAGATTTTGATTTAGATTCAATATTTTCAAATTTCTACCGAGATTATCATTATTAGTTGATATAAGCTCTGAGAAAAACTGAAAATTTTATTTTATCTGTAACCGAAAAATATTTTACAAACAATCTTGTTCGTATATAATTAAGTATCAGATTTATAGAAAATGAGTTTAGTGGTTTTGTTTTCTTAATTATCTATATTCGAATGGAAAAGATAAAATTTTTATTTGAATTGAGATCAAGAAAAACTAGATGCTAACAAATCATTGTAGATATCAGGAACTTTCAACTTACAGTTTTCCATTATTTTTTGTTGAATCGTATATGTTACTATTCCTGATACTTGTTTTGTTTCTATTAGTTACATTTGTTGCCAGAACTTCGTTCGGTTTTTTATTATTAATCAATTTTGATAAACGATTTTGATCAATAAGAAATTGTTCTACATCTATAAATGTTGCCTCATTATTATTCATTTTAATTGGTCGTCCTTTTCCATAATCAACATAAACATCATAATCATTAGCAAATTGTGAAAATTTGGGTGAAATTAAACTTTTTATTCGAGCCATAGAGCATAATATTTGATCATAAAAGAAAAAGTTGACCTCATTGTCCTTGTTCTCTCACTCGCTTTTTTTTCTTTCGCTTACCTGATCAAGGATTGAACGAGTATGTAATCGATCAAAATAAATGAGTTTTTTGCGGTTCATCGAACAAGCTTGTAGATTCTAACATAGATACAGGTTTACATCATAACCATCATCATTGTTTCAATTGATGAATAACAATCGAAAGAAAAATAATTAAAATTACTGATGAGAAAAAAAAACGTATTTCAGCCTATACTTTAGTAACTATATATATATATGTATATTCAAATAATTTGTTTCAATCTAATCTTTATGTCGATTGTAGAATTTTCAGATCACAATGAAAATTCAAAGGACGTAGAACGTCATTTAAAAAAGGGTAATACTTTTCTATACTACTTGTATTAGATTTTCATGCTTTTACTACAACATTTGCTGGGACGACTCATTTTCTTTGCACTATTTCGTCGAATTCATTTCCTTTTCTTGAAGAATAAGTAAAAGCTTGTTGTAACAACAAAGAGTGTTGTCGTTTAACAACTGCCTTTATTTTAATTCATCGCACTTCATTTTATAAGTTCGGTCTTCTATCGAGAGAACATACCCATCAACAGAAGAAAGAGTGAGACTTGCATATACATCTGCACGCATGCATGGAGGCAAGCGCATACACTGAGAAGATAGATGAGTTTAAGTATGAAGAAGAAGAAGATGATGATAATCTAGAGTATACAATATGTGATTAGTTAATGACTTGTATAGAAGACTAAGAATAGCGAAGAGAGAGAAGATAGAACACATACATGTTGGTTGATGGAGAGGATATATCATTATTGGCACACTTGTCTAATAATCTACCATCAGTTGATTTAACAAGTTGTACTGTAGAACGGTGGGTTATATTATTCTGCTTTTTAACAGCCACGTCTTTTGTTCTTTCACCAGTAAAAGAAAATATCCTTAAAGAGACATATTCTTGCTGAAATACAAAATAATCGCTATTTAAAATTTTATGAGAAAAATAGTTTGATATCAAAGACTTTTTACTTTTGATCTAATTTGAAGCATCTAAAATATATAGGCATATTGCATTATGAAAATTACATTTGGAGCTCAAATTAAAGTTTAACTACCATTTATGCTGCAAACTCTTCTGTTCAACTGAGTTCGAGTAATCAGTTTGTTGTGTCATTATGATGAAATTCTGTTTTCTTTCATGAAAGTACATATCAGTGATTTACTTGTTTTGAACGTATCCTAATTTAATTCTCTTGCTTTTTGAATTGCATAAAATTCTAAGTCAGCATCATGAGCTGCTTCTTTTTCAATTCATCCTTTTACATAAAATTGGTAAAAACACAAATTTTTTAATGTTTTGAAATTTTCCAAGTCTGGTGCTGTTGTTTTTTGATATATTCTTTAAAATTTTAAAGATAAGTCATGAATTTGACTTTTCAAACTTTATGTGAAATAGTTGTAAACTGAGCATTTGGATGTTCATTGGTTAATGAACCTGTTACTCAAGATAAGTACCTTGATATGCTTTAGAATTACATTCGTCTGATTTTACAAAAGGAATGGTTGAGTAAGTCTATCATTTTCCAAAAAAGATAGAGCACCAGCGCATTTCTCAAGAGTGATTCGCGCCTAGCTAAATAAAATATTTGATGTGGGTGTGGGTGTGGGTATACTCTGTAGTAGAGAACTTTATTTTTTCGCTTATAACCGAAATCTAAAATAGCAGTTCGTGATATACGTTCAAATTGATTACTGTTTCATCAATGACATTTTTTTGCCATATTATTTTTAAAAAAATCACGTGCCATGTATAAATAATAGTCAGATGCACTAACCAGAGTTAGAGTTAGTAGGATTTTTCCTTACTGATGCCGGGATCAGACCAGATCGTATCGGTCTGTATACCAGCATGAGTCATTCTTCGCTTTTCTGATCCTATAGCAGTCAAATCAATCTTTGGCTTAGTCATATCCTCCTAATCACCACAGCTAAGGTTAAAAAGTACTTTTTCACAACTATAGTGCTTTTCATTTTTTATTTTCATATATTTCTCTTTCTTGGCATCTATTAGTAAACAGAATACTTCAAAGGACTACAAATTCTATATTAATTTTGTGCTTTAATTAACTATAGGGTGTCCAATAAGTTACGAAACAAGAAAAAGAAAATCGAATATCTTCGCCATATTTTGACCAAATAGACTGACATTTTTACTACTGATAGAGGAGTTTTCATAGATCATATTCGTCAGTGAAGCGTTGTGAAAAACTGCTTTGAAGTATCACAACTGACTTCAACAAAGAACTGTAGCTTTCCACGAGTTATGAAAAACGAACGTTACAGTTTTCTCAACAAATTTTTTGCTATTTACAGCTGAAACTTTCAGCATACACTGAATAACAAGATATATAGTTGTGAAATAAATAATAGCCCAAACGACGCTAGTGAGAGGAATTAATCGAAAAAATTAGGGAATGAATATATTGTTTTTTCATAGTCGGTGACATGTTATAATTCCTTGCTGAAGCTAGTTGTAATACTTCAAGACAGTTTTTAACAACGCTTCACTTATGAATATGATCTATGAACACTCCTCTATCAATAGTAAAACTATCAGCCCATTTGATCAACATATGGCGGAGATATTCGATTTTCTTTTTCTTATTTCGTAACTTACTGGACACCCTACACATTAATTAATAGCTATTATAGTTAAGGAGTATCATGTAATTATTCATGGTTGTTCAATTTTGTCAATAAGATATTAGATGTTATCAATAGAAGTCTGTGTTTGAAACATAAATGTCAACCATATTGTAGTACTCGCCATCCCCGAGATATCAGAAGTCAACATTTGAATGAAGCGTCATCGCTATCAAATCTATCATTTATGTTGACGACATGGCATTGTCTATAGATACATACAAGTCTCGTCTGATGTTTTAGCAAAATGCTAAAGATATCGGTCAACTTTTTAATGAATGCTTTAGGAATTTTTATTTCCTGTCAAATGCTGAGTGTCTTGCATTGCATAATTTAAACGAATTAATTATATGATATCTATCATCTCATAAATTTATATAAAGAAATCAAGTATAAATACCTAGGGCATATCAAAAGTAGTGGCAGTGATACTTTAATTCCTTATAAAAATCTTAAGAGGGCTCCTCTTCCCTAGAAAATCGAATTTTTCAAAAAATATCGAAGTTAAGTTTTTATCATAGGAAGATGCAGCGAAGCTTTCTCTTTCAGAATACGTATAGCTTTTTTGGAAAATGACCAGATCTTTAATGATTTATCACATGAAACTTTGACTCTACTACCATATTTTCGAAGAAATTTTCGTAGTTTTTAAAGTTTTTCAGTTTTGGAAAACTACGTTGCCACTTGCATTATCATTGAATAGAACATTTTTATATTAACCAGTATATCAGATGGCGTTAGCTACCTTCATCTATTACGTACTTTAGAACAGTCTGCTGGAATATTTAAAAAAGATACCATTGTCATATGATTTGCTCTGGATTTGAATGAAAAAGTCGATTTCTAAAACTTCTTCAGCGTTTTTCTCAAAACACGATTTCTAGGCAGGAAAATTGAAATAACTTTCACTCAGATCGGGGTATAATTAATGTTTTTTTTTTGTTTTAAAGGTCTTGTTTAAAATAATTCTTGTAAAACAAATATGTATATATATACAATTTATACAAATATTCGTATACTTTGCAAATTAAACCAAGATTTTTTTTTCCATTAATCTAAATGAAAGAATCTATTAGCAGTAAACTCTATAAACTACTTTAGAATTTATTAAAAACAAGCAAATCAATTCAATTCCCCAATCAACCTCGTTTCAAGCTAGTATAATTGCGTGAACAAATTTTTAAAAAAAAACTACATAATTTCTGTCGGAAAAAATTGATGAAAATAGCATTGAAAATGTCTTATATCAAATACATTTGTTCGATAAGCAATATATCCATCAGGTCGAATAAGAATAGCACCTTCAAGTTTCAATGGAATCTTTTCTTCATAACTATCATGTATTTTTATCATTTTCGAATATTCTTTCTTGATGAATTCAACAAATTGATTTACTTTTATTAATTGTTGTCTTTCAAATATAACAAAATGATAATGACATGGATCAAAAATAACATAAGGAAAACGATCACCAGGTTGTGGTGTATTTTGATGAAAATTTCCTGCTGATGCACCATAATCATAAACATTTAATGAACGATAAGTAATACCTAATTGAGACAGTCCAAGAAATACTGCTTGTCGAAATTTTCTTAAATAGATAAATAATGGTTGTACAATAAATTGAAACAGAATTGGTGCAATAAATAAACGAACAAATCGTGTAGTCCAATAAGTACTTGACAGAAAAGCAAAAGCTCGATCAGTTGTATTAACTAATGTTTTTGCAATAGCTGAACGTTCATCATGATATGTATCAAGAAGACAATCTCGAGCTGAATATGTTAATACATAGGCTAATTTCCAAGCAAGATTATGTGAATCTTGCAGACCTGTATTCATTCCTTGACCACCAACAGGTGAATGAATATGAGCAGCATCACCAAGTAAAAAATATCGATTTCGATATCGAAATTTTGTTATATGACGATGATGAGAACGATAAACAGAGATCCAACTACAATCATGTACATTCATATTGAAATGTTCACTTCGTTGTTTTAATAAATGTGCAGCTTCATCGATAGATATTGTTTCATCAGTTTCATTTTGTTCATGAATTGTACCAAAAAGACGATATCGATTATTAGTCATTGGCAATAAACCTGATAAACCAGAAGATGCCAGAAAAACTCCAGCTTGATCTGTACCAAGAGGTGCATTATCAACTTGACAATCAGCAACAAAAAGTGATTCTGAATATGTTCGACCATGAAATGGTAAATTTAATTTATGTCGAACAATACTTCGTGCACCATCACATGCACAAATATATTTTGTTTGAATAGTTTCACCAGTTGATAAAATAACTTGAACATCATTATCATTCTTTGAATCTATATCGATGAAATCTATTGCCTCAGTTTGTCGTTCAACTTTAATATTATGTTCATTCAAAAATGTTTCTAATAATTGTTCAGTAACTGATTGTTCAAGAAAAAGAATATAAGGATAATGTGTAAATAAAGATTGTTGCTCTGTTCGTATAAGTGTAAGATCAAGAGAACATCGATGTTTTCCACGAATAAACACACTCATTTTATCGATGAATTTTCCTTGAGCTAAAGCTTTTTCAGCAAGATTAAGTTGTGCAAATAATTCAATTGAACGAGCATGAACAGCAAGAGCACGTGAATTTACAGTACGACTTGAATTTTTATCAATAATACGAAATGTTATATTTGGATAAAGTGACAATTGACATGCTAACATAAGACCAGTGGGACCAGCACCGATAATAAGGATATCTATTGAGGATGATGTCATTCTGCAAAAAAAAAATTCAATGTTTATTTAATTCGAAAAGTTTAGAATTTTTTTCTTTCTATTATTTTGATGCAAATAGATTATTCTGGAATCATTTACATTTTTTTACATCATAGAAGCATAAAAAGTTATCTTTATCGGAAGGTATTTTTTTTCTTGTTTGTTCTGTCTTTTTTCATTGGTTATTAGTCACGAAGTCCACATAGTAAAGAAAATGGCACGTGCGATCCAATGATCGTTTCACGTCATAAGATCAAAAAAATAATCACGCATAAAAATAAAAGCCATTCACCACATATATACACGAATCATTTATTATTATTTGCGGTAATTATTTTTAAAAACAAAAATGCCAACAGCAATTGGTCTTTTACCTTCTCAACAAGAATCATTTGAACATCATGAAGAATTAAGTAAATTATTAAATGAAACTGATGTTTTTTATGTACCATTTCAAAATCAATTTCATCATAATCAAGATTTATCAGATTTAACAAAACGTTTTGATGAAGATATTTTAAACAAACATTTAGTTGTTGTAAGTTGTTATCTAAATTTTTAAAAACAAATTTACATTTAAAATTTTCTTTTTTTTTTTTTTTTTGTTTTTGAAAGACATTTCGAGATATTGGTTATTCACTTTTTCTTGATTCTGTTCAAAGTATACCTGATCAACATGATCAAACAAAAGTAAAAACAAAAATAAAAATTTCATTTATTGCAAAATTTTAAAAATATACAATTTGTTTGTTTTTTATTATTATCATTTAGACTCGTATTTCAGGAAAAATGATTGTTGATGGTATATGTATTCAATTTCTTGGTTGTTTTGATTGCAGTAATAAAACACCAGATCATTCTGATGTTCAACAAATAAATGGTGTTGGAAGAGTTCAATTAGATGAGGATTATTATCGAGAATTATCAACAACACAAGTAAATTGAAAAGAAAAAATTTTGAAAGTTCTTTTATTTTTAATAAAATTTTGTACTTTTAGATATTTACAGAAGAAAAGTAAGTTCAAAAAAATAACGAAAAAGCACTTGTTGACTTTCTTTTCATAAATGTTATTTTTCTTTTCATTTGAAGAAGTATTGACTCATCAGGACACATTGAAGCCATGACACAAACAGAAAAATCAATAATTAAAACAAAAACACGATCTCGAACCATAAGTGAAAATCTTTTAGGAAAAAATCCATACAATAATCCTTTAAAAAGTCCACCATCATCTCTTTCTAATTCACGTTCTCATTTACATTCACCAAGTCATTTACCATATACATTACGATCACCCCGTACAATTAATCATGCTAATAAACAACAATATCAAGCATCGTCACCAATTAATATTGATAGTTCATCAGTATCAAGAAGTTCCGGTACGAATATTAAATCTTTTTTTTCCCATAGGGCTTTGATCATGTTTATGACAATTTGACAAGTTCCATTGGACTAACTTATTCAATTCCTATTCAAGAAAATAAAGATAAAATTTTCGATTTTTTTTTTTTATTTTGTTCTTTAAAACATACAAAGAGTCTTAGTATCGAAATCATATCAGTTCATAGTACAAAATAACAAATGAAAAAAAAAAATCTGGTTTATCTATAATTGTCTCTGCTGAAGATATTAGCATTTGTCTCATCATGTTTAATAAAATAAACTTATTCTAGGTTTTCATTCATCACTTATATCACCTTCATCCAGTGTTCCAAGTTCATACAATGAAAATACTCTCGATTTACCACCACCACATCATATACCAATGTTCTGTCATTCACCTCAAATTTCATCATCTTTTCATAATCCTACAACAATGCCTATACGAATTCCTTCCTCAACATCATCAAATAAAGGTATTCCACCAGCATCATTACCACACTTAACTGGTATGTCTCCAACAACTCAATCACATTCATTACCAAATTATTTTCTTCCTCATCCAAATTTTGCTTATTTAATTACAAATTCAAATCAACATTCAACACAACCATTTCATATAATAACTCCTTTAAATCATCATTCATTGCAATATCCTAATACACATTATTCAACATTATCACATATACAATCAAATTCAATAAATGAAACATTTTCTTCATTACAAAATAAACGATCAGATAGTGAAGAAAATAAACAAACTCAACCAATGGATATAAGTAAACAATCTGAAGAACAATTACCATTTAAAAAACGACGTCATACTGGTCAATCATCAGTATATTCACCAATGGATACTAATCATGATGACGATGAAGCATCGAATGAATCGATGAAAAAATAATTTTGTTTATATATATATATATATATATGTGTATATCTAGATGTGTGTGTGTCTGTAGTTATTTAAATTATTTTCAGCGTTTTCTTCTTTCGATATAATCTATATTTTGATCTTGTGTATATATATATACATATACATTTATTTATATATGAGAAATGTTTTAAATTTTATTTCAATTAAGATTGAATAATTATGGGATCGATATGTAATTAAATGTAAAAAAATAAAAAATATTGCTACGCAATTAACTATCTATTAAATTAAATGTTATGGTATCTTTTTTATGTTTTTTTTGTACATCATATGATTCATACGACCTTTGGTCTTAGTGTCGATGCATAAAAATATCATATCAACAAAAGGTAGAACGTGACATTATTTATTTTATTTGGATAAAAAAAAACCAAGATATTATTTTTATGTCGTCTGTCGTCTTGTATATCTCAGCTGATTGGTATTAATTTTTTTGTATTGGTTACTTATTATTAGGTTAAAAAAAATTTTATTCTAATTATATCTTTTTATAGAACGCCATCTCTATGGAATAGCTAAAAAAAACTATATTAACAAGTTTCATTATAAACAATCTACAAGAACAAAGATTTTGATGTCAACAATTGAGTAAACGCGATACACATGAGAATACATTTCAATGTGACTTATTGTTTTTTCTGAATCTGTAGAAATACTCAAAAAAAAAATACAAAAAAAAAACAATATCATTAAAGTAATGACGTAACTAGTATACTGCGTGATCACGAGTATTTTTTTTTTCGTGATCGAATTTCTGTTAATTACGCAATACATTAATAATTACTCTCATGTCTCTATATGAAATATAAGTATTCGTCATTGTGATTGTGATCATAACAAAGAACGTCAGTCATCCGGAACACTATACGTGATCATAAAAAAAAATTGTCGTGGACTTAGCCTCCTGACCATCTCTGTCGAGAGGTCGAGCACTCTTTGATAATGCGTCTAGACAAGCTCTAGCCTCTTTTTAAGGCATGCCCTCAAAAACTGACCTCAGGTCAGAAACGTTCAAATGGCAGGAAATTTTCAGAATATGTTGAGACTGTAGTGGAGCAGCTATGGTAATGTTATCAGCCCGACATCATGATGTTTGAGAGAAATATTGGCTAAACAAGGGTTACAAATAGCTCGGTTGGCAAACTAAATTTCTCTATCCAGGTTCATTCTATATATTTAATTTTTTTTGTTTGTTTGAAAGAGCTTGTCAAAATGTAGTGCAAAACAGAACCTTTTTTTTAATTCTTATTTTTTAAGGCGAGAAAAGATCGAAAGTTCAATGACTTAAAAAACTCTCTAAAAATGGCGCTCTAACTACATAAATGTTTGTATGTCAACTGTGACATATATATATATACCTAGAGTAGGTCTATATAGTCTTTATCTATGATAAAAATTTTCGAGAGTTTACCGTTTATTATTAAGGAAAGAGTAGAAATTTTGTAATGTAAAAACATGAAATTGTGTAACGGTGGTCTTGTCGATATGAAGTTGAATTTCTCAGTTGATATAACAACAAACAAGATATATTGACGTTGGGTAGAATGAGTGATTATTTAGTTAAAATGTTCTCAAGGTAAATAAATATTCAATGGTTTTAATTTGTTTTCTCTTCAATTCAAGCCGATCCTTAATATGATAGAGTTCGAAAATGAATATTTCTATAAAAAAATCTTATTATTTGGTTAGATTGAATTCAACTATAAGAGAAATAATCGATTTATTTTTTTATTTTATATAATAAAAACGTGTTGTTGATAAAGAGAGGGAAATATAAATGATAGAATGTTTCCTACCGTAGAACTTGTAAAGAAAAAATCGTTTTTCTAACCTTCTAACTAAGGCATTATTCATTTTTTTTTCAATCATGACAAAATTTTCTCACAGAGACAAAAAAAACTAACAGTTCAAATATGAATATTTAGGAAAACTGATTGAAAATAATCTTGATAACGAAAACGTATATATTCATTCTCAGAAAAATATATAAAACGATGATCGATTAGAAATAAAATCTGAAAAACAACTATTTTTCGTTTCTCTATTAAATATCATTAATTATTTATTTTCCTATGCCGCATAGATATGAACGTTAGTCAATAGTTAAAACGAATCTATTCTACTAATTGTCATTTGTTCTAATTGTAAAAAGATGAATACTATTTTATAAAAACACGAATTTATTATATTGATTAAACAATTCTAATCAATAATATATTATAGACGCATCTCTACTATATAGACATATTCATCTTTCATTTTTATCATTAAACAATATTATATATTTATTAGAAAATAGTTATTATTATAGATGTTACTGCGAAAACAATCGTATTTCTTAATTTCTACGAAAACTTCTATGTTCAACTTTTTTCGATTATGAAAACGTTCGTCGCCTTTGTTTGTTTTAGCGCAGTTCCTTGGGGCTGAAATGTCGAACTGACGTATGTTCTTCAGCTTGATTATACAAATTAGTAACAAATATAGAAACTATAAAATCAACAATTCTAACCTTTTTTATATTCTTAGAGGCGCCCTTATTTTTTCGTTTTCATTCGTTGCTATTCGTTCATTATTTTTCATTTTTCGCAATTTTTGTTTATCTTTATTTTATAGATTTTTTTTTGTTATTATAATGATTGAATTAATTGTCGAAGACGTCTGTTGTAGATATCAATTATATCTAGAGGAGATGTTATGCACTATCCTATATATAAATCAACTCATAAATAATTATCTCGATTATCTTACAAAATTCAAACTTGATCGATTTTCCAAGAAAAACTCTAGAAAGTCTCAAGCCTGTTATTCGCGATCGCTAACGTCTGTAATGTTCTCTTTCTGCGTTGCTATGACTATTTTCTTCGAAAACATACTTGAGTTCCATAAAACATCTAATATAAAACGTCATTATTTAGAGATTAGAAAAAAAAAATTTATTCAAAGTTGTCAATCTCAAAACTATGATTATGTTGATGAAACTAGCTTGGTTTTTTTTCGAGATAATGAAAACTTTCTGGTAGAATCTGTTAGGAATCGTTTTAAAACAAATCTATCAGATAGATAATTACCTAGAAATAGATTTTTTTAAAACATCTACATTCTATTTCTCTCAATGACAGAGAATCAGACTCAATTGAAGATTTTTAAAAAAATCAATGAAAATTAATGAGAGCTTAGTCAAGCACTATCGGACGACAATATATTATAAATTTCATGGCCTTTTTATAGAATATATATTGATTTTCAAGAATACTTTCTACAACGTAGAAATATGTTTTTTTGTCAAACTAAATTTTCGATTTCGACTAAGTCGAAAGTTTTCTAATCTGATAAACGATGAGTCCAGTGTTGCCTTTCGGAGTGAACATAGAGAATGAACTAATTTTCTAAGAGTACCTTTCTATTTGATAAATTATTTTCCTCAAAATAATTTGTTGAACACATCGAAATTGTATATTGGATAGCCGTTTTTTTCAGATTCTTGAACAGTTTGTGAAAATTGTTTTTTGATAATGCCATCTTAAAGAAAATTAAATTCTCAATAAAATAATAGGTCGCTGCGTTTTTTATGATCTTCCTTTGAGAACTTACAAGCATCAAAACACACGAAAAAAAAAGGTAAATTTTATCAAAAAATCGTTGAAAACCGGCTAAAAAATGAATTTTTTCTTTTTTTTTTTGTGATAGATGTTACTTCCCAAGGGACAATCGTAAAAAATGCAGCGACCTCTTATTCTATTCAGAATTTAATGCTCTTTAAGATAGCATTATCAAAAAACAATTTCCACAAACTCTTCAAGAACCTGAAAAAAATGGTTTTGAATTTTTTCTAAACCTTGCCATTATAATCTATCGATGAAATGATCCTATATATTATCTGTTACGATAGAGCCCTTCATTAGGTATCCAATATACAATTTGGATGTGTTCAACAAATCATTTTGAGGAAAATAATTTATTAAATAGAAAGGTGCTCGAAACTTTTGTCTGTCAATATAGATATATTTATTATTGGCTTCCTATCGATTGAACTTACAATTGAGAACAAACAAAGAAAACCTGTTTAAATAAGAATTTATCATGAATTTTCAAAGAAAAATCTACACTGTTCTATTTCTATTTAGAATATTATGTTCCTACTCTTGATCCTACTCATTCGTCAAGAGAGTTTCAAAGGATCGTTTATCTCAATGTTCTTGCCAAGTTTTTATTCCGAATCCTATCTCAAATCCTAGTCATTCCTCTTTACAAGATTTCTCATTATTCATCCTTTCATGACCGATTTTTCTTCTCGTTCATACTAAGAACAATAAAAATATGCATAACATACAAAACTACAAAAATCCTTAATCATCGAATAGATGAAATTAGAAATTCATTTAAATGAATTTCTTTCTTTTATATTTTAATGTATCGTATCATTGGACGAATCAAAGTAAAATCTCTTATTAGTGAAAAGATGTATAACTATTTTCTTCTTTAATATTCTATAAACTCATTCGAGATGAATTAGGATAATTGGTAGTAATTCAAGATCAAGTCATTCGAAGTTTTGATAAAGTTCAAGTAAGATATGTAAATAAAATCGATTAAGTATTTGATCAGGTAATGAATAAATAAAATTATCCATTAAAGGTATCAGTAAGATCAAACACTTTGACAAAAAAAAAAGAAATATGTGCAATTTTATTTAATCGTTTATTAACTTCTATTAAAGAATAAAGTAACTCTCATATTAATCAATTTTTAAAAAATCAAGCATAAGAATTTCATCGAGTAAATTATTCAATATAAAAGAAAATATTTCATTTTTATCTAGTATCTATATCTATTTTGCTTATCTCATTTATATGTGAATGTTTATATTGACCTAACTTATGTTTTCTATCTAATTAATGTCGTCAATATGAATAATCATACATTTTTTCTATAAATAAATAGATATACTGATCGTATATCATTTC